CTAACTTAGTAGACTACTGAAAAAGAGCTCATCTAAATGATAAATTACTTTGATCATTTCTCAAAGTAAGTGATGAGGACTCTGAGAAGGGAAATTTCTGCCTTCAAGTAGCTAACTCTTAAAGAAATCTTTTAAAAAGTCTGTGATATCTAGTTTCCAGTTATTGAAAACCTCTTCTCTAACCCTTTAATGATTCCTTCTAAGTATCACAGAAATTAGAGTTAAAAGGTAGGCTGAGAAAAGATTTATTAGGTAATCTCCAATCTCATGTCAAGTGCATAATTGTCACCTGCAGTGCATTTTCTACTCTGGTGTGCTTTTACTGTGTTCTTGCCACTTCCTTTGGGAGACTACTTCATAATCCAATAGATCTCACTGGAAGGAGGAAATCTGATTTCCATCCTAATGTTCCCTTTCCACTGCGTACTTTCTATAGCACTAACCATTTACGCTTAGTAACCTTCCTCACCGCCCACTCCATCCCCACTGACTCACTTTTACTTTGTAATCACTAGGCATCTGGAACCTCTTTTCTGGAATATCTAATACACTCATCATTCTTCTGGACATGTTGCATCTATCAGGCTAAAGGATTTTAAGGTGATAGAAGGATAAAGGGTCTTCATAATTTTATGTTTCTAATGATAAAACTTTCTTATTCTGATACGGTCCTTTCCATTCTCTAGAGATTTGGGGTGGAGACAGTAATAAGGACTATGAACCTTTTACGAAAGGAGCAAAACCATGCATAATTTATGATTCAATGTCTCTATAATATGTGTTCCCCAATTACTAAAAAGATAAGTTGGAGTGTCCTATCTGAATAATATGAAATCCAACTGAGAGATTGTTCCCAGAAGAATATTGGCTTCACCAGACTTACCCTCACAGATCTTATAACCTGAGCATCTCCGTAGAGGGTCCCAGAGGATGCCAGTGCATGCAGTGGTTTGTGTTACAAAATAGAAACACTAAGCTTAGGAATCTACCTTTTTTATATCAGGTATGAGCAAACCTGCTCTTTGTCCCACAAGGAAACATCAAGATTGTCTCCTGCAAATAAAACCTGAGAAAGGCCCCATAAAAAGAGCTGTCAGAGCCTCACTTCTGAGTTCAGAAACATGCACATCCTACTTCCTCTAAAATATTTTGACAAGATGCTATAGAAACCTTAAGTTCAGTATTTCCTAAACTGAACACACAGTCTTCTCCCTGACTAGCTTCTTTCTCTATTTTCCTATTCACTGAGGCACCTACTCATTCTCAATATTTTCATCATCCACCAGGTCACCAAATTTTTTTTTTTTCTTTTTAGTTCCACCTCTTAAATGCTGTTGGCACTCTGCATATCATTGTTTTGGTTTTGACTGTCATCATCAAAAAGCAAAAGTGGATACACTTTTGCAGTAGGCTGACTCCAGTTTCATTTGCCTCTAAACCAATGTTCTAGAATGCAGAGCTCAAAAGTCTTCACTTGTTAAGCCTTCCAGATAAAATCTACACTTCTTACCATGATCTACCTACTTCTCCAGCTTCATCTACTCATATTTCTTTCTTTTAGACCTTTTATAAGAATTGCTTGCTGGTCCCTGGGTAAGCTTGCACTTCTGATCACTTTGAATGCCATATCCTTAAAAACTTAGAATTCCTTGGCATATAGTAGGCATGTGATGTATGTATTTAGCATACATATTTACTCAGTGGCTGAAAGTAAAAACAGGCTTAGCTTACATGCAACAAGGAATTGGTTTGGGAATTACTCAATTCCACATTTTCTCTGTGTATTCCCTTCACCTTAAGCAATCATGATGATGGAACTCTTTTGACAAATGTGATAATTTAGATTTCTAGACAATAAATAAAAACAGAGAGGGTACAGCTGTTGCTTATATCCACTTTGTAGACTACCCCAAACTTGTAGATTATCAATAATTGTCATTTTCTTATTCAACTGAACAATACCAACATAAATACCAACAAATCAAATTAACCTTATTTTTCTAAGGAACCCATGATTAGTGAGTCATTAAAACTCTCCTTTTTGAATAGTTGGAAAAGGTAAAACCACAACATATAATGTGGCTGTCTAAAATTGCTATCATGTCTTCTATCCCTTGAAACACAACTATATTAACTTTAACTGTTCTCTTTGGCAAAATGGATGACATGAGCATTTACCCATCTAATTAGCTCTGTGACTTTGTCAGCAAGAGCCTGAGCTTATACCAGGCCCAAGGCAGGCTTAGGATCCAGAGCTTAGTCAGTAGTGACTCTTTTGACTGGTCATAAGTTGGTCCACCTCCCTCAATGCTACAGACTATTTCATAGGCTTGGACACACCCTTGACTCTAACGGAAATGATGTTTTCCCTTGGAGATTCTTGAGGCCAGTTTATCATAAGATGCGAGCATTCCTTGGAGTCTGCCTGATCAGCTTCAATGATCCTGTACCACTTCTAGCATAGTTCTTCTCCCTCTAGACGAGTCAGAAAAACAGCTGTCTCCAACCTGGAGAAAACTCACAGATGTGCCCCAAAGCTGGAGTGTCTGCCAAGCCTCTGGCCTCCGTCAAGCCCAGGCCTGCGGGACTATTGTGGGAGCCATGAGGAGATGTGTCCACTCCAGTCACTGGCCATGACTGCATAAGAGCACACCATTTCTAGTCAGCAGAGCACAAACTCCGGTCTCAAGAAATACTTCCACAGAGTGGTGATCCTAAAACTCTTATCTTTCCATACTCATTTTCCCAACCCTATCTGGCTCCTAGTAGGCATTGTTGATTCAGCAGCAATTCTTTGAGCCTTACTCAGAGTCCCCCTGTGTGATTCCACTTTTGGACCTTGGGAGAGAACAGCATTCTCAGGTGGTCTGTCTTTTCTGCCCTTGCCTTTCTCTACTGGCTCCTGACATCTGCCTACCCTCTACAGCCCATTTCCCTCAGTGAACCTGGATCTTCAACTATGTGATGGCCCCAGGACACCACTCAGTCTTGGCAATTAATGTGGGCCTGTTACATGCTAAACTCATTCTGAATAATTTCATTTGGCTCCAATTACCATCCAGGCTGTGAACAGATCACCCTCTATTGGAGATATTATTTCCACTCAGCTCCAGGGTTCATTTTTTGTATTTTTTTAATGATGCCATCATTATCTTAGTTAATGTTCTTCTATCCTCTTTCTTCCTACACCTCCCTTGGGAGATCTTTACAGAGCCTCAGCCTGCATCTTCTCAGCAGTCTTCACCTCCCAGGCCCAGAAGTCCAGTGCCATGTCCCTGTGGGACCTATTTGTCCTTAAGGCATATCACTAATAGAACTCAGCAGGCCCATTGACCCCACTACCCCAGAAAGATGATGTGTACACACGCAGACCTACTCTGCTTCAGTTGAGACAGCCTAATCAGAAAGTACTAAATGTTATTTTATTATAGAAGGAACTTCTATTTCCTTTCCTGTAATTTCTCATTATAAATGTTCTAATCCCACCTACATAAGCCTTTTGATTTGTTTTCTTCTAAAATTCTTCATTGTGTTTCAATTGAGGCTGACTCCCAAGATCCTGTGTCTGATTTGTAAGAGCATCTTTCATCTCTAGTAACCTTTGATGATACTAGCTGGCTCCAGACTTAGCTTAGACCACTCCCCAAACTCTTCCTGACTCCTGTCCTTATTGGAATGTTCCTACCATCAGCCTGAGGCCTGTTATACCCTCTAGCCAACCAAGTTCTTCCCTGTGATGTATCATCACATCACGGTGATTTTCTCAATTCTTTACTTTGCCCTTTTTCATTTCTCCTTCTGTCTTGATCACTTGGTCTTCAGCAAGTAAGTGTGACCTTAAGAGGAGCCTCTAAAATGCTCATCAGATATTAGCAGCTGCAGTTTCTCAGTAGAGCCTTCTTTCCTGGCAATTTCTCATTAACCCTGGATTACAAAGTAGTAGCTCATAAGTTAAATGAAGCTCATAGATCTGTTTTGACTGAGATGTGCTGAGTTTATTTTTCTTATTTGAATGCCTTCAGGTGTGGCTTTCACTTTTGTAGGTGCATCATGCTCCCAATACTTCCTATATTCTTGGATCTGACCAGTTTTGTTAATATGTACTAAGGAGCTAAATATCTCTCCTATAACTACTTCCAGTCCTGGGAACACCTGTCAACCCATTTGTTCAAACCTTCTGAATTCTTCTTCGTCCATTCGGCTCTCCCTACCTGTTCTCTATCATTCCTGCAGGTTCCCTGCAACTACTCAATATACGAGTCCTTCTTTGGTACCATCTTTCAGTGAGCAACTTTCCTCCATTAAGACTCAGTGATTCTACTATCCCATGTATGCAGGTCATATATGCAGATCATTAAATTGACTTTCCATTAAATCACTCTCCATTTTGAGTCCTAATATCAAAAGTCTAGGAGGGTATGAGTTAAATCTTCATCTCTGTTAAAAGACCACAGAAAAAAATAAAAATAGTAGAGCCTCAATGTTGCATGTGTTATTGGCTTGTTGTACAACTCTTCATTTTTAGTTTTCAAACTTAAAAACACGTCTAACAATTCTATCTTACCTCTCCAATAGGCCCTGTCTCTCTACACATTCAATTCACACACATTATTAGCATGGTATTATGAGTCAATATCCTGTATGCTTTCCCAAAGATTTTTCATATTTGAAATAAAACACATTAAAATAGCTATAGTCAAGTAGAGTTTTAATGAACAGAGTTGAATCAAAATGTGAACAAAAATCTAAGATAATTTGTGCCAAATTTGCCACTTATGCAGATAATTACATGGCATGCTGGGAACAGTATCTAGGAGACTAACTTTACAGAGTTACTTTTCTACTATTGGGCAAATAGATCAATTGTATAAAAGATTTGATCTTTAGTTATAAATAGAAGTGATGACCTCATTTATAGAGTTTAAGAGATCTGGTGTTTTTATTGACATGCACAGAATCTACATAAACCCATGAATGGTTGTTGGTTTTTAACTTTATAGGAAATCAATGTGTTGACAGTTGCATTGGCCAACCAAGACCGAGAGAACAATATTGAGAAAAGAAGCCAAGGCTTAAAATCAGAGAAAGAAGCTCTGCTAATAGGTAAGGAAATTCTGTTGTCTTCATCTGTTCTCTTAAATCATTATTAGGTAATTAACTTAATATTTTAGCAATTCACCTCCAACTTGTTAATTTAAACAGCATTGCCTTCTGGTCAGAGGTGAGATTAATTTCATCAGACTGTATTACATACATTTCAAATTAGTAGCATACAAACTAATGGGGGTATTGCTTTTCTGTAACTGTGTATGTTAACCCTCAGACATAAAACTGAGTTCAAGAAGACATTAACTTGCATCTCACATGTCACAAATCTGAATTTCTAAGTTTGGGCATGTCACTTCTAACTGGAGGCCAGATTGCATCTAGTTCTAAACCAAGCCACATCCCCAGGCTCAAGAACAGCTTTGAACCCTGAGATTAAACTCCAAGCCCCTTAGCAGAGGCCACATCCTAAAGTCAGCCCCAAGGCTAGACCTGCAATGCTGGGAAATAGGGGCAGGCAGGGTACTGGTGCTAGGTTAATCCAGGATAGTCAGCTCCAGGCGTCTCTGTCCAAGTTTGGATCCTTATGTCCAGGAGGAACAAAAGCATCCTCAGTGGATCCAGATATCATACTTATTTTCACAAGGAAGAGTTCTTGAGGATGTGCTGGCAGTGTGCCTGGAAGCCCATCTTAGGCACCTGTATGTTTAAGGCTGTCTTTGAAGCCCTCAAATTCAGAGGAAGGGAAGCCACCACCCTCATGCTGCAGTGCACAGCACTGATTCAAGCTGCACCTTGGCAGTGGACCCCAGTGTGGAGTTGCAAGTTGAGACTGGCTTCTTGGTGGCATGGTTAAGAGTGAAGAATGAGGTGACTATACATGCAAGACAAATTGTTATCCTACAGTTCATTATCTGGCAGAAGTAGTTGCATTTTCTTTTTCTTTTTCTTTTTCTTTTTTTTGAGACAGGGTCTCACTCTGTCATGCAGGCTGGTGTGCAGTGGCATGATCTCGGCTTACTGCACCTCTGCCTCCTGGGTTCAAGTAATTCTCCTGCCTCAGCCTCCCTAGAAGCTGGAATTACAGGTGTGCATCACCATGCCCAACTAATTTTGTATTTTTTTTTTTTTTTTTTTTTTTTGAGATGTAGTTTCGCTCCTGTTACCCAGGCTGGAGTGCAATGGCGCAATCTCGGCTCACTGCAACCTCCGCCTCCTGGGTTCAGGCAATTCTCCTGCCTCAGCCTCCTGAGTAGCTGGGATTACAGGCACGCGCCACCAAGCCCAGCTAATTTTTTGTATTTTTAGTTGAGACGGGGTTTCACCATGTTGACCAGGATGGTCTCGATCTCTTGACCTCATGATCCACCCGCCTCGGCCTCCCAAAGTGCTGGGATTACAGGCTTGAGCCACCGCGCCCGGCCTAATTTTATATTTTTAGTAGAGACGGGGTTTCACCATGTTGGCCTGACTGGTCTCAAACTCCTGACCTCAGGTGATCCAAAGTGCTGGGGATTACATGCATGAACCACCGCGCCCAGCCCTGGTTGCATTTTCTGAATACTGCATGTGCTCACCTAAAAATGACAGGTACACCAGGGCCTAGAGAAGCTGGCACATGAGGAATTAAATTCAAAAGATAGTCCAGAGTCCATCCATCATATATAGATTTTTCAACTACAGGGTTATTGAATATGACATCAACTTAGAGATACTCCAAGGAAAACCAATTATTATTATTATTTTTTTTTTTGCTCTGATGATATACAGCTGTAATAACATGCCAGGCACGAGTCTCGGAAGACATGCTGATGTGCTATCAGTTCCAGGAACCCAAAATGAACCATATGTAGTTGGTAACTGGATTTTTCTTCTATTGGCAAACATGTCCAACTCTGACAACTGTTTCTCTGTCACTCGGTGTGACCAAAGTGTGATTTTTCCCTCTAATGCTTTTAGGGTATGAACAAAGCAAATAACGATCTGCAGCCAACTTTTCCCTCTTGGTTTAGGAATAATTCTGTCCATTTGAAGGTTAAAAAAATGGGAACCGATCTCTATTTTCTTTATTTTTTTCCTTTTACTAGCGATTGCTTCCCCTTTTATTTTGTGTTGTAATTGGAGAGCACAGTTCATTTACAATATTTTCCAAGTAGCTATTAGGTTTTATTTATATATGTACACACATATATGTACATTTTTAGTCAGATACTTCAAATATTTTTAAATGATATGCTTTACATGCAGTACATTAATGGGAATAGGTAGGAAGATTACATTTATAACATGCTATGCTTGCTGATGTCTTTGGCATCACAAAAAAATTATAAAATTAGTTAATTCAAGTGTGTTAGAAAGAAAAATATTAGTCAGGATCTTCAATAAAAAGCATACACAACCAACTCTAAATTTTCTAAGACTTTTCCCCTCACTGTTGGTCTTTTGAACTAGTTTTATATTAGCATTTGAAGTTAGGAGCAGGGCAAAAGAGAAATAGGGGGTGACACTTACTTTGAATCAATATATGAGAATATTTAGGTATAAGGGAGGCCAGAGACTTCAGTGTTTGATCAAAATAAATAGGAATTTAACTTTCCCTTCAGTTATCCATTATCTTGCTCCCTTTCTCCATATTTTATTCTTCTTAATGATATTTTGACAACAGATGTCATTTCCTGGCCAAACCCACCTCCAAAACACCTATATATTTCTAGTCTTTTGTAACCAAAGAAAGAATAATCCTCCAAAAGAATGCCACAATGGGGAACAGTTTCCAAGACCAGCAAAATGGATCCTGCCAAAGGCTGCAGTTGCATCCTGCCACTAAATGATCCAATCTGCTAATTGAGTTTGGTCATTCATACTTTGTAGATACCTGAATGTTGGGTCCATAAAGATCTCCCCTGAAGCTTCTGGAATCTGGATATAGATTGTGATGGGGACAAAACTGCTCTGGACCAGAATAAAGAGAAAAAGGATTTCCTGGTGCTGGGGCTACATTTCTCTGAAGAATTCTCATATGTTGAATGATTTTAGGAGCCCTCTGGCCTTCTGGTACATCTGGAGCAGTCATAAATACTCTGCAATTCCCCTGAAATCTTCCCTTGGAATAATTAAATCAGTAGAGAGGACACAATAGTCATACTCTAAGCCAGCCTAGGAGGAGAAAATGTCCCACAACTTGGAAATATTAGTTGGCAAAATCGTCATCACATCTGCATGCTTATAGTATATGCTGTATGCCAGTACAGTCATATGATCGATGCCCTTTTGGGGCACATAAATGTTATATAAGAAATGCACACTGGCACAGAGCATTCCCTGGAAGAGAAAGGGAGTGAGGAAAAAACCTCTTCAAATGGATTCCATCTACGGAGAGAAAAAAACTGAGGCTGGAACTTCCTAAACAATGAACAATTGTAGTTATGTGTAATTATTTGTGACGCCAATTCATCTGGGCAAAAGTGTATATTCTGTCCAGACATTCTCATGACCACTTTATAAAACTAGAATCTTTATTTCAGGGCATATAAGTTGGTACTTACTAGAGAGGATCCATGGGATTTTATTGACATGGAATTTTACAGATCTGATCCTGAGTATTTTTAGAGTTCGACCATTCTGACAATCTTTTTCTTGACAATTAATGGGTCTTCCAATCAACTAAAGAAGACAGGCCCCTAGAAAATACTTTATTATTGTGATTTCTGGGTTATTTTGTAATCAATTTTTTAAAGACAAGTTGACATATAATTGGACCTTAGAGAATTCTGTTTTTATGGGGGCATTGCAGGGTAGCGTTTTATGTTTCATAACGCTATAGTAACCAAACAGAAGCTCAGCTTGACATTGCGCAGTGTCTATGCCAGAACTCCTAGTTCATTTCACATATGGCCCACATGTTGGATTGGCATACACTGAAGTTGTTTGGGTTAGAGTGAGTCATTACTTTTGATTTGGGGCCAAAGTTTTAGAGCTGTGTTTGGCTGGAGATCATTATGAAGGAAAAATGGATCAAATTTTTCTATTAATAATCTAATAGTTCTGATAACTCTGGGTCCATACCACTCTATCTTCTCTTGCTATAATAATATTAACACAACAGATTTCAATCCCAGCAGCTCTGATTGGCACCCTGTTGATGCTAGTCATTGTAAATACTATCCAGATGTAGTCAAAAACTTCTCCACAACTTTTAACTATTTGCAAAGCAGCTTTTATCTAAAACCTCCCTGGTCCCCTGAGAACTATCCTCAGGTTGACAATGATTAGGCAAACTTCATTACATATCCTGAGTCCTCTGCACATCAGGACATACACATCATTTCCATCACAGTCTCCATCTCACAGGTGCACACAACCAGGCTATACTGGAAGTGGAATGTTCCTCCTAACATGAGAATTAAGAAACAGCTGAGTGTAATATGGAAAAATGTTTTTAAAGAGGATTAAGCAATAACTTTTTGATGATTTTTGGTGAATAAAGTTGAGGCCATATTTAGGCTGTACCTGAGAAAAGTGATCTTGGGAATATGTTTCTCTCTGAAAGCTGCTGACCATAAAGAATGAGTCATTGACCTCAATCTTGTTTCCAAGGCACAAATGTCCATATCAGTAAATCAAAAAACATTTGTCAAGAGCCTAAAATAAGAATAATCAGTCTTCATTGTGGAAAAGAATTATCTAGGCAGCCTATTTAAAAGGCAGAATCTTTAGCCCCACACACAGGTGTGGTGGCTCACATCTATAATCCTAGCACCTTGGGAGGCTGAGGCAGGAGGATCACTTAAGCTCAGGAGTTCGAGACCAGCCTAAGCAATATAGCAAGACTCCCATCTCTACCAAAAAAAAAAATATATATATATATATATATATATATATCAAAAAGTTAGCTGGACATGGTGGCATGCACCTGTAGTCCCATCTACTTGGGGGGCTGAGGTGGGAGGATCTCTTAAACCCACGAGCCTGATGCTACAGTGAGCTGTGAGCAGCACCACTACACAACTGCATGGGTGATAGAGTGAGACCCTGTCAAAAAACAAAAAGAGAGAGAG